GGAAGGGGTACCCTGTACTACTTTAGCGCGGGGACTGTCTTTAGGCAGCTGGTTGGCGCCGCGCAAAACATATCTCCGTGGACACTCACCCTCTACAGTAGCGAATTAGGCTAGATAAGTTGAGTATTGTAAAATAATTATGTGTAGGTAAACGGCATCGTGTTCAATAGTGACTATAAAGAGATGATGTCAGCTCACGCTTGTGGTAAACTTGTTATATGGAAACATCCTAACTACACAGAGATCGCGAAGTTATCAGGTAAAGATTTTTTTGTACGATTTCCCCTCCCTTTTTGTTCCTTCCAACTTGTTTTTCAGGCCATACGCCGGAACGTGCGATCTCGATAGTTCAATCTCCATGTGGTCAATTCGTCATGACTGCAGGTGGCGATGAGGCTCTTCGGACGTGGCACCCCTTCAAGGCACGTTTTTCCTTATGTTTTCTCTGAACGATGCATTCTTCAGTTCATTATTTTTATGTGGTTCTTAGAGGCGCGTTATGCTACTACCTGGTAGATACGTAGAATATCTTCTCACGTAGAATATCTTCTCCAAAAGGCCCACTTCGCAGTCTTAGAGGTTCTGCCGCTTTCGTGAATTGCTTTTGACGGACGCTGCAGCCTTCATGAACCGTAGGATTGCCACCAGATAAAGTTTTCTCGACCATTTGGAGGGGATATGTCAGCAATGCTACATCTGTAAACGCAGATGTCACACGTTGCGTTCATTCTGCGCAAGTTCGTTTATCGAATTGCTCGTCTTCCAGCTCGCCTTGGTGTTCTTTCATCCTTTGAGCTGTCTCGCACGCGGGAACTATTTTAGTTTTTCGAATACTCGTCCACCATGGGCCTCATTTTGAGGGTTTTTGACAGATTTGTCCACTTTGGTGTGTCAACTGGGATCTAGAGATTTACATTTTGTTCCGAAGGCCCACGAATGGTAAACCGTGGAATGTGTTCTGAAGCCATCAGGTTCAGTCTCAAAAGGAAAAATCAGTGTGTGGAGTGCTCCGGGAAGCACGTACTACTTATAGCGTGTAGCGTTTTTTCCGAGTCGCAGTCGTAAACTTCTCCATGGGCTCCTCTAGATTCCAGAATCGTTTTGTGTTCACTTAGTAAATGGAACCCGCACTGGGGTTTTTGTGCAGTCTGATTCCAGCCGAGGATCAGAGAATTGTGTTACGTTGGATAAATACCTTGGACAGAGATTGTGTGCATTCCTGTTCGCGGTGGGCGCTGAGGCCGTGTCACGGGGCTGGGTTTGGGGCGGCCCCATCCATTTCTTCACCAATTATGGAAGCTGATAAGCGGCCACAATTGGTGGCGAACGGGTTGGCGTCAGGCAGACCGGCCGTCCTGACCTGCACCAGCGTTCGCGACAAAGAAGACTGTGAACTCAATGTGAAAGGCTCTTTGCAGATATATAACATCTATCCGCCTCGAAATTCTTTCTAGTAGTATGACAGCAGCACGTAATTGCCGTCATTTACTGAATCCAATATATTGCAGTTGAATTTGTAGCAATGGTCTGACTCAGGTGTAGAGCGCACAATAAGTATGAGGCTTAACAGCATGGCGCTATAGTATTGGCTATACCAGTTTAAAAGTTCAGGGAAGCAGGCTTGTAACAATACCCCCAAACTGCGCGTGGAACGGAGTGCGCCCGCAATTCCCTGCAATTTACACCTGGGCACCCATGGTACCGCAAAGACGCCGAACTACCGTCTTTCTCGTCTCACCCTTAGCTTCTCTTCTTCTTACGGATTAATGGCTTTGTAAAAGGCTATAATATAGTCTAACCTGAGTAACTAAAGTGACTTACGGTTGCTCAATTGCGTGTATTCACGGAGCGTGATCATTTAATTTCACGCGCAATTTTCAGGGTACTGTTTGTTTTGTAAAATTCATAATCTTGTGGAAGCTACTAGGAATTTTCTCAATATTGTTAATGTTTCAGGTCGACAAGAGTACCCATCAATTGCAGCAGCGCAGCAAGATGTTCAGCTCAATGACTATTCGATAACAACTTGATGTTTGACATATATTGATTGGTGTATATAGGCATAATTATGTGAAATCTCATATTTGGGCAATCTCCTTCAGAAGTACGACTAGTTCACTTATCTATATGAACGCTAGATTTGCATTATATTGTACTAATTGCATGATACTCTGACTTCATATAATTGTGTAGCACTAATGCTCGAACTAATTTTGACGAGATTCCTGTTGTTGCTCGTCTTTAATTTATTGTCACTGATGAAGAATGTGATTATCGCGTTTTCTTGTGTGTATCATGGTGAAATTGCCAGGTCAGTACTCGATCGTGTTAATTCCGAACACATTCTGAATTGCTGAACCTTCAGTTTCAGCGTTGTTCATTTAATGGCCCCGTGGAGGGACAGAGGAAATTTGCAAAATTGCAATGCATATGTTCACTGAGGACGACGCTAGGAGTGAGGCTGTGAATAGTTCCAAACGCAAAGGGCGTCAGTGTGTGCTCATAGAGGTGTTCCCCGCACAAAAAAGTTAGAGGGTTTAAGCCATCTGCGAGGCCTTGCCCATATTACAATTGAGCTACTAGTATTAGTGAGCTTCGACTGGGACCTCCATTCTTTAGCAGAATGTACAATAGAAGTGATTGAGAGTGAAGTACTTTCAAACAAAGGAGCATAATGCCTGTAGAGATCACCAGCATGCAAGCGTGTGCAGCGAATCTTCGGGCCGTGTTGAAAGAGAGTCGGGTGCAGCGGGCTTAGCGCCTGAACGGCAGCCAGGTAGTGTGCGCTGAATTTGTCTAGCTATGACAAGCTTGGCACAGGCCAATAGCATCAATTTATGCCGTGATGGTTTTAACCCCAACGCGGATACGTTCACCGTGGCGTAGAGGCTTGCGATTTGTTGCGGCAAGGGGGTACAGTGGGGATCATTAGTGCAAAAGGCAATTATGATGATAAGATGCAGCTCACCGGTGCAGTTCGACCTGAGCTGCTAAGGTATCGGCATGAAATGGTATTTGCGTTTTGAGAGTTTTTTATCATTAAGGGCAGACTCAGCGATGACAAACAGCGTCATGATCCGTAGAGTACGACCGGTTGGGAAACAGAAATGCTAGCTCTTTTGCCCGCTGGAAAAAAGGAAAGGAACTCGTCGGAAACGCTATAAATAAAGCCATACTTATGCTGATAAATTATCCTAAATGTAGTAGTAGAATGGCAGTAGAATGCGTGTCGTATCCCAAAAAGGGATTGGTCGACGACTGAGACTATCGTTACCCTTCATATATCGTCTCATCGTGCCTATGCCATACTCAGTGAATTCGCGATACTAGTCTCAAGGAGACCTTTTTGAATCCTTATTACCTACGGAACAGTATAACACAATGGGGATGTTTATGTGTAAAGTACCCTAGTAATTCCAGTCTCTTAAGTGTCACGCCGTCATAGATTCTCCCAATATTTTTTTTCTATTTCTCAATCGAATTAGCATCTGCGTTGTCACTAAGCATCCCTTTCCCTAAGGCTTTGAACACGTCCGCGTTTTTCTAAGTGTGTGACGTTTCACTCCTTATCGTCGGTCTTACGATTTGTTATCGTTCATTGACATCTTCTGTCACTTGAGCTGTCATAGGCTATCCAAACTAACCGCATTTCAATAACGTTTCCAAGTTTCGATGTCACTATGCCTCTTGGTTTTTGCCAAATTGTATTGTTACAAGCGTGCAGTCTTCTCTACTGCCTTCTGTCCGCACCTGTCACCGCTAGCTGTCATGAATGGTCGTTTGTGAGTGTTGGCGAATTGCGTGACACACCGATAAGTAGACATGCTCATCGCGTCCGACTGACACAGTTGACCGATAACAAATATTAGTCGGCCGTTCGAGGTCGCGACCTGATCAGTGCATCCATTCTTGTTTACGAAACACCGCTTACTTACTGCATATGGGTCCGAAATGAAATGTCAATCAATAATATCTGAGCGGTTGACAGTTCTGTCGGCTTTTACGACCTCAGTTTTCTCGCTATTCATCTTTTGAGTGAAGTAGCACCGCGGCAGGCTCTTATGAAAGCTATCGATTTCGATTTTTCAGGAATATTTTATTAGGACGCGTTCCTTGTGACGTTTCAGAATCGGGAAATGGGAGAACCTTGTAATCCACCAAGGAAACTTGTAGGTACATCTAGAGAAATGGAAAATCCGAGAAAATGTTTAATCACATATCGATGAATTTCCGATTCCTCAACTCTAAGATTCTCCAATTTTCCGGTTATCGTTTGGGCGGAGTCTTTCAATAAAAGTTTGGTTTTTCTCGGAAGGCTCCGGTTTTTTAGGTGCATCTAGAGTTTGTAACACCGCAATCAGTCGGGGCAGTGTGAGAAGGCGGGGCGAATCAGCCTCAGCTGACTCGCTCTACCAGTGGTGTCGGCTAGTGAGCGATTTAGGTTAGAAAACAACCAGTGGCAGCAATGCAGGTGAGGTCAGACCATCCCTCTGAAAATCGACCCGACTGCCACGGTACCAAGTGTATAATGCTTTTCTTTTACGTATTTTCCGAATTTCGCGGTTTTCTGTTTCTTCAGTGTTGCAAGGTATGCCTACAGGTTTAGGTATTTTCAGATTTC